CAGATTTGTTCATTTTGTAATGATATCTTCAATTCTCTAATTTTGGTGAATATTTTTGTCATTTTTGGTAAAAAGTGATATTTTCAACTTCTTGTTAAAAATCGCAAGTCCAAATGCTTTGATATAACATATATAGGTACTACATGTGGACCTCTCTCAGATTTGTTCATTTCGTAATGATATCATCAATTCTCTAATTTTGGTGAATATTTTTGTCATTTTTAGTAAAAAGTGATATTTTTGACATCTTGTTAAAAAGTGATATTTTCGACTTCTTGCTAAAAACCACAATCATTTATGGTGAAAAATGATATTTTTGAATTCTTGTTGAAAACAGCAAGTCCCATAGCATTGATACTATGCATATTGTTCATTTTCTAATGATATCTTCTGTTCTTTAATTGAAATGTGCATTGCTAACAGCGGAGCTATCTCAGCCGAGAGGCTGCTTGTTGATAAGTTGCATGTAAAATATAGAAATAAAAGGTATATTCACTGGATGGATATCAATGTTCCTGTTTCCTGACAGAAAGAAGAGATCTGTCCAACCGTCAATTTTGTTTGTTTGTTTGTTTGACCTTTGACGAACTGGCGACCATTATTTATCCCAAAAAATACCAAAAATCAACATTTGAACATTTCATCAACTGTAATTTTGTTGCGCAATTTTATTCAAAATGGCCTTCAGGCGGCCATTTTGTTTTTAGTCCATGTTGAGGCGCAGCCTTAATGGGACTAATAGACTGTCCGTATGAAAGCAACATTTTCCCGGAAATTCTGCAACAAGATCAATGAGATTTTAGATCTTGATGGATAATTAATTTACACATTAATCACATTCTGAAAACCCATTGAAAATACTACTACTAGAACCACTGCTCATGTGCAGTTAACTTGTAAAATTAGAATGAGATTCATAAATCAGATTCATAAATTCAGTGATTTGGGATTGTGCATTGTATATGTGATCTGAAGTAACTTAGTCCCCGTCCGTCCGAAAACGGGGACTTATAATTCGGTCTCTGTCCGTTCGTGCGTGCGTCCGTGCGTGCGTCATATCTCAGAATCCCTTGGACCGATTCCATTCATTCTTTGCTTGTGCCTAGTACTTTATGTGGGACATATGCACATGCAGTGGTTTAGCGATTCGATTCAAAATGGCCGACTGGCAGCCATCTTGTTTTTTGAAAATGTTGTATTTTGGACATGCTTTGTCAGTTTTCATTCAAACTTGGTACATAGATTATACATGTTAGGATACATGTCCATGACGATTTATTTCACAATTGGATCAAAAATGGTCGACTGGCAGCCATCTTGTTTTTTGAAAATGTCGTACTTTGGACATGCTTTGTCAGTTTTCATTCAAATTTAGTACATAGATCATACATGTTAGGATACATTTCCTGACCATCGTGAGTTCCTGAGTCTGTCCATCCGTGTGTCTGTCCGTCCATCCGACCGTCAGTCTGTCCAGAGTCATATTTTAGAATCCTGTGGACCGATTTCGTACATTCTTTGCATGTGCCTAGTATCATATGTAGGACATATGCACTTGCAGTGGTTTAGCGATTCGATTCAAAATGGCCGACTGGCAGCCATCTTGTTTTTTGGAAATGTATTTTGGACATGCTTTGTCAGTTTTCATTAAAACTTTGTACATAGATTATACATGTTAGGATACATGTCCATGACGATTTGTTTCACAATTGGATCAAAGATGGCCGACTGGCAGACATCTTGTTTTTTGAAAATGTTGTATTTTGGACATGCTTTGTCAGTTTTTATTCAAATTTAGTACATAGATCATACATGTTAGATTACATGTCCCTGACCGTTCGTGAGTTCCTGAGTCTGTCTGTCCGTTCGTCCCTCCGTGCGTCAGACTGTCCAGAGTCATATTTCAGAATCCTGTGGACCGATTCCGTTCATTCTTTGCATGTGTCTAGTACCTTATGTGGGACATATGCACATGCAGTGGTTTAGAGATTCGATTCAAAATGACTGACTGGCAGCCATCTTGTTTTTTGTAAAATGTTGTATTTTGAACATGCTTTGTCAGTTGTCATTCAAACTTGGTACATAGATTATCATGTTAGGATACATGTCCATGACGATTTATTTTGCAATTGGATCAAAGATGGTCGACTTGCAGGCATCTTGTTTTTGTTTTTTTATGCGGTATCTTGGACGTGCTCTGTCAGTTTTCATTCAAATTTGGCACATACATGTACTTTATACATGTTAGGATGCATGTCCATGACAATTTGTTTCAAAATCTGGTCAAGGATGGCCGATTGACAGCCATCTGACTTTTTGGCCTTACTACTATATTTCCACAATTTATGTACCATTTTCATTTGTATTTGGCACATACATCATACATATCAGTGTGTTTCATAATCAGATCAAAGATGGCTGAATAACGGCTGTTTTTATTTTGGCCATATTACTATGACACGAAACACGTGTTTTGATGTAAATAAACAATCTGTTGTATACGCCACTTGGAACTCAAGTTTCAAGGACACGCTCGCGACAACCCCTCCACTTTAATATGACGAGCACAAAGAGAACTTAACGGGGACTGTGTCATTTTCAATGACTTGTTTATTATAATATTTCATTTTTCCAGTCCCACCACCAGTAATCAAATACCCTTGATGCGTATCGTTCAGTCTGTGAAACACACAAAAAGACGGGGTTCACAAGTGATGAAAGAAAGTTGGCTGGTACATTACACTAACAAAGACAGCATGGTAAGACTGGCATTGTTGCCAAAGGAACAATCTATCTCATTTTAGGCTAGATTTCTGATAACTATGTAGTTTCTTCAATCTGGTAGTGAACCCTTAAAGTCTGGTTAAGACAATTAGATATTTTTGCTAATCATAAAAAATAGATTTTTATATTTGTAGAACACCTTTTCAGGACTTTTTTTTTTGTGGAAGGTGACAATATTATAATAGTGGTGAAAGGATTGACCAATGGATTATTGCGATCAATCCACAGGGGGTAATAATTTGTTGCAATTTGCAGGGTTCCAATGTAACAGTTACCCTTTGCTCATATTACCCTATTTCGTCAAATATGGTAATACTTTGACCAGTACTCATGAAAATGTGTTGCTTGACAAGTTAAATTGGTTATTAATAATTATTTCATTGTTGTTGTCAGGCATAAACATAAAACTTTTGAGGCACCCAACTCAGATTTGTGGAATGATTGAGGCAGGGCTTTCAGTTAGCCTTTTAATTTGGTGAATAAATCCTGATAAATGAATGCTTATTAGAGAAACAATCGTAATGTTATTACTTTTACACTCACAGTAACCACAAATTGTGACTACACCAAGTGGTTATTTTACTCCGCTCGATATTATTAGACATCTTGGATATCATGGATATTTATGTAAATTTGTGGACTATTTGATTAACAAGGAGAGGAGTGCCACTTCATGTTTCAGTCTTTCATTATTATTTTTTCATTTTTTTTTTTCATTTTTTTTTATTGTAATCAAAATCTGTAAGCATTGTAATATTTCTGGTCCTGATTTTGAAATTAAATTTTTTTCTATTTTTTTTTGCACTGATCAGAAACAAAGCACTTTTTTTTTTGCCAAACCAAGAAATTCTTGAATAATACATAAAAAATGTGCCAAATGTTGCACCAAAAATATGGTTGCATTCATATTACCGGAATTTTGACTTTTGCTATAGAGCTCTAGCCATTGGTATCCTATCTCAATCATATCAGGTTAACATGGAAATTAATTAAAGTGAAACAAAATATTTTAAAATTTACATTTTCCATGTATTCCTATCTTTTCTCACTTTTCTACAAATTTTTTTTTTAACTTACAGCGTAGACGACACTATTGGAGGCTTGACACAAAATGTGTGACATTATTTCAAAGCGACCAAGGCACAAAATATTACAAGGTGAGTGCGTGAACTGTTTCTTGTCTGAATAATTTAGGAATATACCCCGGTAAAACTCACATGTCTACTTATGAACTGTGTTGAATTTGGTTTGTTTCTAGGAAATTCCACTCTCGGAAATACTATCGCTGGAAACCGCATCAGGCGACGTACAAGTACCAGATTCAATGGCACCATATTGCTTTACGCTATTCACAGCCAAACTTATCTATTACGTTGGAGAGAAAGTTGTACACAAACAATCTGAGGAGTCTGAGGAGAATGAGATGCCTGAAAAAGGTGTTGGTATGCATCTTGCTAAAGGATGGGAGAAAGCGATTCGCGCTGCTTTGATGCCTGTCACACCCCAGCCTAGCGAAGCAAGTGCTACAACTCCAGCGCTTCATGGTTCTGGCAGCGGGCATGGACATAGTAAGTCTACCCTGTTCTTATAAAATCGTTCAAATACAGTTTTGTAATATCATTGTGTCTCGTTCTTTATTTTATCCAATCACAGACACAGATAAATTCGATGAGTGTGTGCTGCCCACTCGAAATAACATGTTAGAAGTATATATGTTATGAACAACAAATATGCATCATGAATTATTATAACTCTGCAGGATTGTATAGCTGGTGCCTGAGGTCCAGTATACTAACTATAATAAATCTTTTTTCCACTAACAAAACCATTTTGGTGATAACAATTTCATTGACTTGCCTTGCAATTCTAACATTTTAACAAAAAGTGACCCCACTTGTTAATTCTGACTCTAAATTTGCCATTCATCTTAATGGGTATATTTTGCTTTTCACTTGATCAGCTTGTACATTTGCTTCATTTCAATAATCTCTCTTGTAACTTCTTAAATCATTACTAAATATTAATGTTTACAAGCTAGTTCTTCACTGTAAAGCGTCAACATGTAAAAAAAAACAAATGCTTGTGCTTTCTTAGTTCTTAAGTAAGCCAAATACTTAGATTCATATAGTGGTGTTGGTCTCTATGCATGTTACATTGCTCAAATGCTACTTTTTTCTCTCCCTCTTCCCCCCTTTTTTTTTACATCGCATTCTATTGATGTTGTTGACTGGTTGGTAATTGGCGTATTAAACCTGGAAAAGAAGTGATTATCCGGTTGTCAACAGGTGCCGAAATGAGGGCTGCTGAAGTGGACAAGGCCCAGCAGGCTGCAGCTGAGAAATGCGAGTTTATTAAACATGAGGACATCAGCCAGCATTATCAGATATTTCCAGATGAGATATTAGGTTCTGGACAGTTTGGTATTGTGTATGGAGGTAACATAACAATTGTTATTTTTGTTGGATTTTCTTAGTTTGATTTTTTTAGTCCCTGTCAAGCATTGTCAGAAATGAGGACTGTTTTGTTTTGTTTCTTCTGTGCATCCCTAAGATTATGTTACTCTTTGTTCTAAGTTTGTACAAAGATGAGTGATAATAAAATACATATGCATGTTGATTTGTTTTTCATTTCGCTGACATTTGACTGACTTGTGGCCAGTTTTCTCCAACAAAAAAACACCAAAAATTTGTATGAAATGTGAGTTGGATTTCAATGCCCAGATCAAATTTAAATGGTCTATACTTTCTATCAAGCCAATCATAATTGTGTCAAGTTTAACTGTGTACAGAGATAATGTAAATGTTCTCTTCTCCGTGGATTCAATTTTAATGACGAGCTTAAGTTCAACTTCTCGTTGAGCGAATCAGAATTGTATTCAAATTACATTAATTATTGTAGGTGTTCATCGGAAGTCAGGCAGGCAAGTGGCCATAAAAGTGATAGATAAATTACGTTTTCCGACTAAACAAGAGACACAGCTAAAAAATGAAGTATCCATTCTTCAAGTAAGTGGTAGTTGAGTTGTTGTGTGGTCTATACTCAATAAACCTATACCATTTTTCTGTGTTTTTTTTTCTGTTTTTTAGCTCTGCTGTCCATTTGTCAAGCGGAGCTTATCATATGAGTGATTGTCCGTCGTCACCGGCGGGGTCAATGTTTTACCTTTTTCGACTTCTTCTTGAAAACTACAAGCCTGAATGCTTTGATACTTTGTGTATGTACCTGGGGTAGACCTCTCTTAGATTTGTTCATTTCATGATGATATCTTCAATTCTCTAATTTTGGTGAATATTTTTGTAATTTTTAGTAAAAAGTGATATTTTCGACTTCTTGTTAAAAACCGCAAGTCCAATTGCTTTGATATTACATATATAG